GGTTGCCCGGGAGCGTGTGAGGCCGCAGGAGAGGCTACAGTAGCGGGCTGGGGGGCCCCTTTCCAGGTGATGTTCTAGAAAAGCCTGGCCTGGGGGAAGGGACTGGCCCGACGTCGGGGAGCGAGTCAGTGAGGTTGCCGAGGGAGGAGCCCTCAGCCCAGAGAAGACTGACTTCAGTCTGAATGGGCCCGCACCCTGGCTCTGGTGGTAGGCCCAAGGGATCCAAAAAGGCCGCTGAGCTGGGGCCTGCACTTGTGGTGGCCAGTGGTTCTGTAACACCGGCACCGAGATAGGCTGAGGCCACTGCTGCTGCTCAAGGTGGTGCATCGAGGTGCTGCGGAGCTGCGAACGATGGCTGGAGTAGGACTGGTGCCTGGATCGAGACCTGGAGCCATGGGACAACCAGACCGATTCCGCTTTGGAGTCTGTCGAATACTCCGAGGTCAACCATAGTGGTGTGGTGGCAGTAGTGGCTGGCAGCCTCCCTGCTGGAGTGTACTGGGCCATCAACTCCGGTTTCCCCCAGTGCCAGGAGGGGGTTCTGCACCCAGGACTAGGGTCGAGGCTACCGGCACTGGGGCACGGCAGTGGAGCCCTCTTGCTTCCAGGGCCGAGGCGCTAGATGCCAAGGACGTGGGGTAGTACCATCTGGATGCAGGAGGGGGTTCTGCACCCAGGACTAGGGTCGAGGCTACCGGCACTGGGGCACGGCAGTGGAGCCCTCTTGCTTCCAGGGCCGAGGCGCTAGATGCCAAGGACGTGGGGTAGTACCATCTGGATCCTCGCTCCTTGGTCGGGTCTGGTGTCGAGGTCAGGGACGAAGTCAACCCAATCAAATCTCTTGCTGCCTCAAAGGTATCCAGAGTGGAGGACTCTGGGAAGTTCCCCGCTGGGCTGGTGTCTCGGCACAGACTAGAGCGGTGCTGATCTGACCATGATGGTCCAGGTGCTGTGCCAGTCGGTGCCGCACGCCCCACTTGAGGGCATGCGGAGGGCACATGCCTCGAGGGAGTCCTGCCCCTGCTAGGTCTCCTCTTCTTCTGCGGCACCGGGGACTGCGACTGGAGCCGAGGGCTGGGTGCCTCCCACACTGATGCTGGTGTGCTCTGGGTTGCCAGTGCCAGACTGGATGCCAGTGCCGGTCGTAAAGCCACCTCCATGAGGATAATCTTCAAGTGAGACTCCCTTTCCCACTTGGTATGCAGCTTGAAGGCGTAGATCTTACAGGCCGTGGACAAGTGGGTCTCTCCCAGGCACTTGAGGCAGGCTGTGTGTGGGTTGGTGTGCTCTGGGTTGCCAGTGCCAGACTGGATGCCAGTGCCGGTCGTAAAGCCACCTCCATGAGGATAATCTTCAAGTGAGACTCCCTTTCCCACTTGGTATGCAGCTTGAAGGCGTAGATCTTACAGGCCGTGGACAAGTGGGTCTCTCCCAGGCACTTGAGGCAGGCTGTGTGTGGGTCCCCGCAGGCCATAGGCTTCTGGCACTTCTCACAAGGCTTGAAGCTGTGGGACCTGGGCATGCCCCGCCGGGCGCACTGGGGACGTGAAGCGAGCTCCATGCCTGAGAACTTAAAACTAAGCACAACACTTAACAGCTAATAAAACCGTAGATAAGAACAATGAACTGAGAACTATTTAACTAACTACTAAAACGAGAGTCCCCGCAGGCCATAGGCTTCTGGCACTTCTCACAAGGCTTGAAGCTGTGGGACCTGGGCATGCCCCGCCGGGCGCACTGGGGACGTGAAGCGAGCTCCATGCCTGAGAACTTAAAACTAAGCACAACACTTAACAGCTAATAAAACCGTAGATAAGAACAATGAACTGAGAACTATTTAACTAACTACTAAAACGAGAAGAACTCCTAAGAGGCGCTTGCAGAGCAAGAGCAAAGGCACGTTCCAATGACCGTCAGGAGTGGTAAGAAGGAACTGAAGGGGTGGAGCGCAAGCAGGGGTATATATTAACTGATATACTGGCGCCACTCCAGGGGGCTCCCCTTCTGGCCCAACAGTTACTGCTAAAGGAAAAACTTCCAATGACACGTGCGTGCAGCGCGCGCACACCTACATGGAATGGGCATGAGTAATCACTTGAAGAAGAAAAGTACTTACACCAGCCTCGCACTGTGTGCTTGCCACAAGTCAGGACATATTCACTCTTCTGATTTTTACCAGGAATCACTTCAAACTTGATAGATGTGTCACCCATTCCATGATTTCTTAAGCACAAAAACTCAATATTGTAAGGTCAACCCAGTAAGTTGCATAGAAAGACCAACTGAACTGAACAATGTAAGGTCAACATAATTGAATCTGGATTTAACAAGCCAAGATCACATCTCATTTTCTAGTCCAGTAAGTTGATTGCACAGCTTTGAAAAAAAATAAAAAAATAAAAAAATCAACATTACTGCCTCTCAAGTGACAAACAAAAATAAGTGCAAAATTCTAAGGACCAGATCCTACCCTTAGGCTGTGTCTACACTGGTGCGATCTTGCGCAAAAACTTGCTGCCTGTCTACGCTGGCCGCGTGTTCTTGCGCAACTAAACTGACGTTCTAATGTATGAAATCAGTGCTTCTTGCACCAGAACTCTGACGCTCCTGCTCAGGAATAAGCCATTTTGCACAGCTGTTCTTGCGCAAGAAGCCAGTGTAGACAGGCAACATGAATTTCTTGTGCAAGAAGGCCCTATGGCTAAAATGGCCACCAGAGCTTTCTTGCGCAAGAGAGGCACTACACTGGCAAGGATGCTCTTGCGCAAAAGCACATGGCAGTGTAGACGTTCTCTTGAGCAACTACTTTAACGCAAGAACTCTTGCACTAAAGAGTTTTTACACAAGATCACGGCAGTGTAGACGTAGCCTTACAGTAGTGAGAGCAGTAATACCATACATGGAGCAAGGCACCTTGCTGCAATGTGTGTGTGTGTGTGTGTGTGTGTGTGTGCCATAGCTAAATTGCAGTTCACGTCTCTTTAGGGCAGGAGTGGGGAACTTTTTTTGGGTCAGGGGCTGCTGAGCCACAGAAAAATCAGTTGGGCCCAGGCCAGTAGATTTTGTGTGCTCCAGCCCCATGGGGAGAACAATGGGGTTGGGGGCCTGGAGTACTAGCACAGGCTCCCCAATGCTGAAGGGGAGCCCCGAGCCTCAGGGGCCAGATCCAGGTAAGTCTTAAATTTCCCACACCCCTGTGTTAGGGTCATAGTGTGGCCGCCTACTTATTCCACCTGCTGATATTCACAAGTGCTGGAAAGGTGTACTGCCTGCTGTTGTCACAGTAGGAGCAGATGGGGAAGAAAGGAACAGAGGTACTCTTGTATCCTTCCTAACTCTAGCGCATCTAACAAAAAGCAGACTGTGCCCTTCATTAATGATTTTATAGCATGATTATGATGTGATCCTACCTTTTAAGGCACTCATGGAGAATCTGATATGGAGACAACAGTCCAGCTTTACTGGTCAGTTCATATACCCGTGAGTCCTCAATACTGATATGGTTAAAATACTACAAAAGAATTGAGAGATATTCTTCAGCTACCAGTAAAGCAAGCACAATATTGGAATTGTACTACTTCTCAATTTCTTCTATATCTACATTTGAAAACAAATTAAATTTTATATTTTTTGTCACAGAACACCTACACACTAGATCTTCATCAGAATTACTGTGTTGGCCCTATTTTAGGAAGCAAAACTATAGACCAGTGTTTCTTAAACTTTTTAACACTGAGGAACACCAAACAATACTTTGTTTTTATGGGGAAAACCAAGGATTTTTTGGTGAGGGGGGAAAAAAAAGGTCAGGGGGGGAAAAGGTCAGGGGAAAGTTAGTTATTGAGCAAAAAAAAGGGTCGCCTGCCCCTTTAAGGGTGGCCATTTTTAATTCTGTGTTGTTCTCCACGGCACACCTCCGACTGCCTCGTGGCACACTGGTTAAAGAAACACTGCTATAGACCATTTCCTTTACACTCCAGTATAGAACAAGAAAAATATCTTTTCTATGTATACTAGAAAGAGCTTCTGACCTTATTCTTTTAAGTTCCTCCATTTCCATAAAATGAAATGTAATTCCCAGTTCTACTTATTGGAATTTCATACATAATGAAAACATGGTTGCCTAATGCAATGAAACTCTCAACTGCAATTTAATGCTTTTATGTTACATTCAAAAAAACTTTTGGCTGTCTTCCATAGTAAAAGAAAAGCTTCTCCATTCCCATACTTATGTAGCGCCCCTCTCCACCCGATTACCTTCTTTAATGCCAATCTGCCTAAAGGTTTTGATGGACAGGTCTGGGTTCTTCTGGATCCCGCCACCCACTCAGCAGGGTGTATCTTTATTTTTTCCTATGAATTTATTTGGCAGTGCCTCCACCCCCCTCACTCCTTCCTGGCAGGGTCACCAGGGCAGCTTGGGAGGAAAATTCTAACCACTGGGTAATCCCCACTTACTTGCCAGATAGTTGGAGACTTCAAAAAATAACACAAACACATACAATGTATTCAACACAATAATTATATTAACCAGGAGACAAATATAACATAACCAGGTAAAACACTATTTTTAGGTTCACCGGTGCCCACACTGCTAATACCTGTGACTTGTCCCAGTCACGGGACTTGATGTAGCAAATGTAAGTGTCCCGTTGGTACGTACTTTGTTGGGGTCCTTGATGACTTATGACCACAAAATTCCTCTCTGCAGTGGTTTATCAGTGTGTCTGACTGGGTTCAGTACAGCCCAACGGACTCACAAGCGGGAGAAGGTGGTAAATCCCTCCACAGGTTTAACATGCAGCAGGTTATAAAATCCCACTTTAGGACACAGTACAGGGACTAGGGGGTCCCCAAAACAAATTCCCTGACTGACTAACTAAAAGATGATGCACTCACAAACTCCATGAACGATCCTCCGGCTCACAGATGACTCTGGACTCCTCAGTCACTTCAGAGGGCTGATCTCTGCTAGCAGGGATCCTATTCAGGCAGGAATCAAGCTGCTTCGGTCCCAGGATTTCCCCTCACCACAAAGGGGTGCAGGGCTCAAGGTGCAGATTACACAACTGTACTAAAATCCAAAGTGTAGTCTCCTAGCCCAGTGCCCAGACACACACACAGCAGGCAGCAGCCCTGAACTTGCAGCCAGAGCAGAGCTGACCATGTGGGGACTGGTCTCACCTAGGGAGCTGGAGGGCTAACTCAGACTGGCTGGGGAAGTTTCCCAGCAAACTCCACAAACTGCGAATCACCAGTGGAGAAGGAAAACCCAGCAGAGGGATCTTGCTTTCAGGTCCCTAGAGGCCAGTTCTCTGGGAGGACCCTGCATGCAGGCCTGGGGCTTACCAGCTTCCCACACAAGGGCTATGTCTACACTGGCGTCTTCTTGCACAAGAACATCTTGCGCAAGAAAACGTCCACACTGCCATGTGCGAGCTGTGCTTTTGCGCAAGAGCTCCCATGGCAGTGTGGATGCTCTCTTGCGCAAGAAATCCCTGCCGAGTGTCCACACTGCCCTCTTGCACAAGAGAGCTTACACCTGTTAGAAAAGAGCGTAGCTCTTGCGCAAGAAGCCCTCCCTTACCATGCCGTACTGTAAATTTCCTTAAAACAAATTAAAGGAGATTGCCTATCTCCTAGAACCAGAAGGGACCTTGAATGGTCATCAAGTCCAGTCCTCGGCCTGCACAGCAGGACCAATTACCATCCCTGACAAATTTTTGCCCCAAATGGCCTCTGCAAGGATTAAACTCACAATGGTGGATTTAGCAGGTCAATGTTCAAACCACTGAGCTATCCCTCCTCCATCCCTCTTCTTTGCACAACAGTGGGTGGGCAGTGTGGATGCTCTGCGGGTTCTTGCACAAGAACGGCCATACTTGCGCAAGAAACCACGAGTGTAGACATAGCCCTTGTGTGTGGATCACATGCTCTATTAGCACCATTAAGGATGTAAGGAATACATCTTATGAGCAATTCTAAAAATGTGTTTCAAAAAGTTCATCTGTCACAATTTCATTTCAGCAATGCACTCTCTGCAATTAAAGCTTTATAAATGTTTAGCATCATGCTATTATTCATTTTAAAAAGACCCACTCCAGATGCATTGTCCCTCATAGTACCTTTTGTAACACAAAATTAAACAAACATATGTACAATTTAATAGCTTTACTGGTCTGTACTGTTTGTTTTAGGGAAAAGGTGATGGTGGTGGTGACCAAATATTGTTTACATTAATTTCAGCTACAGTTAAGCTTTATTTTGATCAGGTAGTGATGTTGATGCAGAAATCTCTGTAATAAAATGTGATGCTAACTAGCATGCAGCTGCTACATATTTGATTCAGTTGGTCACAGACACACCTCAATGCTTCCCCTGTGAACTATTAAATTGTTTCCTTCTATCTGCATGAAGAAGATACTATTTATGGTTGTCTTTATTATGGATTTTTATTTTCTTATTCTAATAGTTCAGCATCACTTTTTTTTTGGGAATGGGGTCTTTAAAATCAGTTGGCTATTTTGAGCTATGTTGTCCATTTGTTTGATTTTGTACTTTAATAAACTACTTCAGTTTGCAGAGTGGTCTTGTCTCAGTTTCCCTTTGTAGGTAGTTTGTCATGCATATGTTTTTCAGGAAAAAAAACAAAGTGCTCAGTGATGACTGTTCTTTAATTTCTACTCATGATTTACTGTGTAGCTATTGAAAGTGCTCAATTAGGCAAATAGTATTTTCACTATTTTCAGTTTCACTATTTTGTAATTCTGATACTTTAGTCAAATAGCCCTGGTGTCATTCCCTCAAACCATCTTTCTAGTACTTTCCCAGATTTAGGATTTGTAGTCCAAAGTTTCAGTTTGCAGGCTGAGGACTTAAGCAATATTTTGGGATGCCTCCGGTATCCCGAAACAGCTATTCCACATCTTTTGAGTGCACCCGTTATTTCAAAATAGAACAGGCTCGCTATTCCGACATCCCTGTAAACCTCATTTCCCAAGGAGTAAGGGACGTTTCAGAATAGCGGGTTATTTCAAAATAAGTGCTGTGTAGACAGCGCCAAATTTTGAAATAAGCTATTTCAAAATACACTCGAAATACACTACGCAGTTTGTGTAGTTCAAATTGCGTAGCTTTTTTCGAGCTAAGGGTGCAGTGTAGACGCACCCTAATTACAGTGAAGTGCTACTATCCATTTTCTATTATATGAACAACTCTAGAGAGTACAGGTTCAGAAAACTCCAGCAAAGTGTTCCTTCTAGTGTGAATCCTGCTCGTTTTATTTTAAATCAGTATCTGTCTCTGATTATTTCAAGACTGGATACACATTTTTTAGGGATAGTTTAGGAATAATGGTCTCAGTCCCACCAGGAATGATACAGGCAGTCCCCGGGTTACGTACAAGATAGGGACTGTAGGTTTGTTCTTAAGTTGAATTTGTATGTAAGTCGGAACTGGTACATATTGTAGGGGAAACTCTAGCCAAACATTTCTCCAGAGCTCAGTTTTATTCTCCCACACCTCACTTCCCTCAGTCCTTTAATCTCAAACTGAGGTGTCTGCTGAGAAAAGCCGCTCCACCTCTCCCTGGTCTGCTGGGCGGGGGGAGGGGGACGCGCTAGCTTCGCATCTCCCTAGTCTGCTGGGGGGAAGTAGCTAGTGCGGGGGTGCCTCACCCCGGTTGT